ATGTGTATAAGAGACAGGGGGGAAAGGGGGGGGGAGCAGAATGGGGGAGAGAGAGACAGAAGTACAGCAAGAGAGACTATTGCTGTAGAAGCAACAGCTACTCCACCCATAGGGCATAAGGGCTGCCCGCGACAGGACGGTGGGCACAGACTGGGTTATAGAAGGGTTGATGCATGGTAGCGGTGCGGCCGGTAGGGCAGGTTAGGCTGTAGACCTCGAAAAGATCAGCCGTCAAGCCGCCCGAACTACTCTATTTTCAGTATATTCAAATGATCAGTGAACCTGATCAGGGAGAGGGCTTGTAGACCCATAGCTGGTTCTTGTACTTCTGTACTTCTCTGTCCCCTCCCCAATGTGAGCCCTGCCGGCTCACTACAGCTCCTGTGATATCCCCACAATTCCCACAAGCACGCAGGCGCACCAGCACACACACCTAACTTTGCATCAGTGGCTCTCTAGGTTCGGGCGAGGGTATGTGTGGGGCTATGATGATAGATAGTGTATGTGTTACTACTGTATGTTGGACTCGTCTATACTGCTGCTGCTGTGTACTGTAGCTGCTGGCACGAAGACTGCTGGATCTTGGGAGTGTACGATTTTCAAATTTGGAAGATACGCAGCATACCACGATACTCTGGCCTGGTTGGGCTTGAAATGCCCCTTTTCGCTGTCCTCCTGTCTTTGCTACAGTGGCTTCCTAGATTTGGGCGAGGGCATGGATGTGGAGCTATTGATGTGTGTCTCTGTGAAAGGATATGGGGAGAGATTCATGGTGGCATTCGCATTTAGAGCAGCGTGCATTTTTCGAATTTTGGGCACTCCAGGGACCCTGACATTACCACTAACGTCTTCTCATTGGTCACCGGGTGGTGCGGTCGATGCGAACAAGAAAGACACACCTACCTATTGACTTGCCAGCCAACACCTGGCGTGGAGGGAAATAGGGCGGTAACTCCATGGCATGCCACAACACCAGCACTTGCAAATGATCAATCAATGATCTGTCAGGACGCCTGTAGACCCACAAGGGTTCAAGCATGTAGACGGTGTTCTTTACCCTACACGCCCACCCTGGCATCGAAACGTGTACGTGTAGGGAAAACGGCTTGAGAACGCACGAAAAGCACTCGCTTGAATGGGGCCACCGCAAAAATACGGTGCTGCAATGTGTGAGACTTGTCATTGTCGTATGGGCTACACCGCAGATTCAGCAGCTGGCACCGCTGCCCGGCTGCTGTATGCATGGCAGCAGAAAATGCCACGGAGATGTCTTAGGAAAAATAAATACTTTGGAGTAGCAAACATACACGGACTTGTATTGGGGATGGGGTTGTTGACTGCTGTCGTCTGTACAGGACAACAATACAATTCCACACAGCAATGCCAGTCCTGCACCACGTATCCGTGAGTAAGTCGTCACGGTATGCTGTGGCCACTTCCACCATCGCTGAGGTCCGCGGGGTGGGCCGGGTGTGGTGCGGATGACACGCACATCCTCTGTTCCCCCCTGAAATACCGACATGATCGTGTGTGTGTGCATACAGGAGTCGTGGGCCCGGTGAAGCGACATCATGCCTCGAATGGCGACCGCAAAATCGCCATGCACTGCACCCCGACTAATACCGGCGATCATATTCCCTTCTCACAATACTGTACTGCTGAAGGGATCGCTACCGGGGTCGACCAACTACTCCCTGTCTTCCTGCAGCTTTACAACTGCTGTCAAGTGACTTTCGAACGCGTAACCAAGCGGTGTGGTGTGCAATGTATAGAAAATTGAAAGCACAGCGTACGCTGAAGAGAGTATATCGGCAACCCTGCTTTCGAGTTGTTGACAAAACGGCGGATAGATTATCATTGCTTTGTCCTGAGCTTACCCCACTTCCACGCTGGCCTCATCACAACACGGGGTGCAACAACGGGATCATTGTGCTGAATTTCATGGATCTACGAATTCTCACTTTATTGAACACACCTCTACCTCCATCTGAGCCGAACAATCTCTGGAGGTGGGGAGATAAACTACAAACCTAGCTAGACCTACCTCTTCCCGGAAGAATCCTGATCTCTCTCTCTCCCTGTCTCTCCTTCCCTCTCTGTGCTCCGTCGCGTGTATTTCACGGCGCACGGCAGCTTGTGTCTTGATGCGATGTAATCGGGGGCTCCGCGGCGGGGGCGCAGCGGATGGGACATCAATCGATCAATCGACTCAATTACAGTCGTCCCCGCTTTAAAGACACCATTTTGAAAGACACTCCCCGCTTTAAGGACCCAAAAATATGTAGCGTTCAGAAGGAAAGCGTTGTTTGTGGAAGGCGTTTGTTGAATTCGAAAGAAAGCAGGGGACGGGTGCTGAGCGTCCCCTGCGTGCAATGTCTTCAGTCTTCTTGTGCACCCGCGTCTCGGGGAAGAGAACGCTAGTGCAGTCAAACAACTAGTTGAGGAAGCAAGAGGAAGGAGCGTGGAAGTTAGGGCCTTGATCGATTTTGCCCATGGATCCATCAGTGCAAAATGCGGTCCAGGCAAAGATAGCAGCAGACGCAGCCGCGGCCGAAGCCGCACCCGCGTATGACGGCGCCGCACCCAACGCCGCTGCACCCAACGCCGCCGCCGCAGACGCTGCCGCCGCTGTAAACGCTGCCGCAGCCGCTGTCGCAGCCGCCGACGCAGCCGCAGCTGCAGCCGCTCCCCCGGCAGCCGTGCACAACGGCGGCGACGCCCCCCCGGCAAACAACGGACCAGAGGAGGGTGCCGGCGCGAACCCACTCGGCGGTATCCAGGCCATGCTCACCCAGTTCATGAACGCTCACCAAGCTCAAATGGCGGCCTTACACCAACAGGTGGCGCAGCAGGGACAGATCCTGCAGCAGCAGCAGCAGCAGCAGCAGCAGCAGCAGCTGC